ATATGACTCTGAGAAAGAACAGAATTCTTTTCACAGACAAAGAGGTGCAGACACTTATCTGACGGGGTTCTCAGCACCCTGAGGATTTGGGCGACGGGGACGGACTGTCTGGTGGGGCCGTGCTGCTCCTGCAAACATGTGGTCATTTAAGTCTAAATGATTTAAAAACAAATAACATCTCAGGGGTGCCTGGAGTGCTCAGTTGGTTGAGCATCCGACTTGGGCTCAGGTCATGATCTCGCGGTTCATGGGTTCAAGGCCTGCGTTGGTCTCTATGCTGACAGCTCAGAGCCTGCAGCCTGTTTCAGATTTTGTGTCTCCCTCCCTCTGACCCTCTCATGCTCATGCTGTCTCTCTCTCTCAGAAATAAATAAAACCTTTAAAAAATATATAAATAAATAACATTTCAAATGTGGGTCTTCAGGTGTGCTGGCCACATATCACTGCTTCTTGGCTACATGTGTCTGAAAGATAGTTGAGGGCTCCGCAATCGGGGTCCGGAGAAATCCCTTATGGGTGTGTGTGTGTGTGTGTGTGTGTGTGTGTGAGAGAGAGAGAGAGAGAGAGAGAGAGAGACAGACAGACAGACAGAGAGAGAGAGAGACAGAGACAGAGACAGACACACAGACACAGAGACCAGCCAGAGAATGAACTCTGAGATGCTGCTGGAGATAAGGTGCTCTGGAAGTCTCTGCCCACCATCTAAGAATTCACTAGAGATCGTCATTTTTCAGGCTATCAGACTATTTGGTACGTGCCTGTAAGGAAATACCTTCTGCTTTTCAGTTCCCTAAGCTTTTAAACGTATAGGATTAACTTAAGGATTTTCTGAGTTCTCAAAAAAATGTTTTTAGGTGACGTGCCTAAGAAACTAGAAAATTTACATTTATGGGTCTAACAATAGTCAATGCACTGCAGTCCAGCCAGAAAGGTAGGGATTTCTGGGTGAATTCAGTGCTCAATCACACCACGCTCTAGGCTGGAGGGAGGCTGACTGCGGAGAGAACACAGAGCCCCGCCCTGGGTCGCTGCTGCCCTTCCCCGGGGGGAGCACCTGCCACCGCCTGACCTGAGCTGGCGTGGGAGGGCACACCAGCCACACTCACCCACAGGCTGTGCCGTCAGGACCCCTCAACGGCAGCACGGGGGCAGGGCTGAGGGCACATCCACGAGCAGAGCTGGCCCGGGTTGGGACCTCGCTGGACTTGACTTCCGTGTGGGGAGGGGGGAGTAGCTCCTGCCGCTGAGGGTTCCAGACAGAATCCCTTCTCACCCTTGAGGACGGTACGGCCACAACAGAGGCAACGTCCTGCACCGGGGATGAGAGCCTGCTGGACCCGGGGCTGAGGAGGCAGGTGGACAGGGCGGCCCCTTGCACAGCAGGGGGGTCGGTGGTTTCAAAGGAAACGTACTTTCCCATCAGAGGGAAGGAGGGTCCACATGTTGATGGGTATATTTGTATGTGTGCAAACTGATGTCTCATTTCTCAAAGTGTCATTCGAATGTTCTCTGGAGAGTCTTATCAAGGAAGGGGGCTTTAATTAAATACACAAATGATTCTTTTCTGGGACGTGAACGCCCCTGGAGAGGCAAGGTGCATGGGCTGATGGTTTCCGTCTGCCACGCACTCAGTTTCAAAGAACAGCCTAAATAATCCATTTAATCGGAAACACCAGGTTAATAAGTTACTCCCTACTGTAAAATTTAGATGTGAATGTAGATTCTGCCAGCTTCCAGATTTCATTTTTCAGTGTGGTCTATTTCTCCTTAAGCTGATTAAATAGAAACATCCAGAAAAACATGGCTAGGCACCTGTGGAGAATGTCTGTGAGCCAGATACGACCATGAGGAGAAGTACAGGCCACCCACAGGGGAAAGCAGGTTTTCAAGACTATTGTACTCGGCTAGGATTTCAACATTTTAACTCATCGCTTGATTTCACTCATTTTGGAAAATGTGCAACTCTGTCAACACAGACTACTAGTTGTCTTTATTTTTCGCATTTCCAGTAGTAATGATTCTAACGAGGGGTGGCCTCTGCTTTCATAGGGGGAAAAATCATGAGATTTTAAGGGCTCCTTTTTTTAAAGTTTGTTCCCAAGTAAACTGATGTCTGTGTTCAAAAACAAAACAAAACCCTGACAAAGCTGAGATTTCAGATGTTAAGACCTAGTTCAAGGGCACTGGAAATCCTAATTCCTTAAGGTAGGTAGGAAATTGGGAAACAGGGAGATGCAGGGTCCCATGCTGAGTGAGTTAAAAACTCAGGGCAGCCCAAGTGACATACATGGCCTCTACCTGGAGCGCCTGAGGTGTGCAGACCCTAAGCCACGGGCTCTTCATCCTCGGGCCCTCCCCTAAGGGCCTGCTGCATACGGGCAGTTTCTCCCAAGGAACATCTTATGGGCCAAATGTCTTATCTCCCTGTGCCGGTATCCAGCCTGGTTCCTCAGGGCCAGCCGCCAGGTGCAGCCTCCCCAAAGGCAGGAGAGTCTAATTTTAGCTTGTGGAACCAGTTTTCCTGGAGCCTCTGTGGGTGGGGCCTGCTCAGAGCCCCAGGAGTCAGGAGTCGGAGCCCAGGGGGCCTCAGCAGCAAGCGTGGACGCCGTCTGGGTCATCCAGGGAAGCCGGGGCGAGGCCTTCCCGGTTCTGCCAGGTCACAGTCGTATATACGGAGCCACTGAGAAGTGGCTGATAAGTCAGTGAGCTCGCGCTATCTGGAATTCAAATTCTACCATGACTCTTAAAAACACAGGGCATCAAAGGCAAAATACGGGGTTTCTTCATTTTTGGGAATGGGAGTGAGTCCCAGAAACGTCTTGTTCCCGTGCTTCCTCCCGTGGCTGAGGCCTTCCTTCCTTCCACTCACCATGGGGGGCTCTGCTCTGTCTGGGGGCAGGGGGACAGGGCCCTCGGCCACCTCGCTGCGTGGCCGCTCCACCTGTTACTGGCAATGCCAGGTCGGAAACGGGGGCCTTTCCTTTCACCTACTGGAGAAATTCCAGACTTATTCCTTCTGTAACGCTCCTCCCTGCTGCATCCCGACATGTCTTCAGGAGGAGAGAGAAGCCAGTAAGAAGGCGCAAGGTGCTGAGTCACGGGGAGGAAGCTGAGGGCCCGAGACCAGAAGGTCCTGGTGGGAAATGACGACGTCTCCTTCCCCAACACTGGACAGAGGGCTGGGCGGGACCAGGAAGCCATGCAAACAACCAGCGCCAAACCCCGCCGTGCCAGCAGGTGCGGGCGGGTGCGGGCAGGGCGCAGGAGGGGCTGTGCACCCGCCGGGCAGCATCTCCTGCAAGAGGCCGGGGTTTGGGGGGCATGGAAGTGACTCTGCCTTGCAGCCGCCCCTACTCACACGTCAGCCCGGCACCCGTCCACGACAGAAGCCTCCCTTCTGCTCTCCCGCGAGTCAAAACATGCTCACAGAATTACATGCAGAAACATACAGAAGGGGCAACAGTATGGCAGGAACCCAGGTACCTTTTTTCTATCCTGGTTCAAGTTTAGGTGCCGTGTAACGTCTCAGGCACTCGCTCCTCACGCATTTTCTCTCCAGTTACTGAACAGTTTTTCACACGTAACAACCACCTCCAGGAACCAGTGTTCTTACAGTTCTAATTTTTTAAACCATCCAAACATTACACATCAGATATCAGAAGACAAGAGAATCAAGTATAGGCTTTACTGCCGCTCAACAACCTTATTTAGGTAGAAATAACAAATTAAAACTATGTCTCTGTGTTTTATAATGTCCAATGACAGGAAAGAAACTGGGAGCCACAGAGTGGGTTTTAGAACCGGAGTCGCAAATCCGTCACTACAAGCCTTGGTCTCTCGCGGCGCTGACGGGCCGGAGCTCCCGCCAAGGCCCGGCTCCCCTTTAACTCTGGTGTACACTCTGCTCGGGGGACAGACGGCGCCCCAGTCCCCACATTCTGGGGCCCCACGGAAGCCTGGCCCACCGCTCAGCGCCTCTGCCCATTGTGACGAGATTCTCAGGAGAACAGTTTGACTTTTAAAAATTAACGAGTCATTCCCCATTCAATATTTACTGGAATCGTTCAGGTATTTATAAAAATTTCCCCTCAGCGGGAAAGTAGGATTCCAAACCCATAACGACATTGTAACTCCCTTCCGGTTCACCTTGGGCCTGAAATCATTAGTCTAGAAACTAGATAACACTGTTAGGAATGTCAATTGAGGTAAAATATGGGCAAGAACAGCACATACTTGCTCATTTACTTTGCAAGGGGTGCCCTGAAAGCACATTCTGGAAACTGACGCAGCGGTTGATACAGAAATGGGGTTCAGGCACGGAGTGGGGAGGGCCCACAGCTGCTGGCTGGGGTGTTATTATATAAGAACTGTACTGCCACTCAGTTCAGTCCCGTGGGCCCTGTCCAGCACTTTCGTGTGCACGTGGTGCTGGGGGCACCCGGGTCTGGTGACCCAGCCTCTGTCTGCGGCTGGAACACCTATAAGGAGTTGAGCACCGAAGACGTGGAGCCATCTCCCTTCCCTGCCCCCACAAATCAGGGCAGATTCAACACATCGCACACCACGTCAGCCCCCTTTCCTCATCTGAAATGACCCTTCGGTGGTGGAGAAAAAGCCCCAGCCAGAGCGTGAGGCCACCAAGAACCCGGCGAGTGGCAGACGCCATGCGGGGAATACACAGGAGCCTCCTGACTCCAGGGGGGGATTCGGACCATTTGTACTTCACTCTCCCCTCTGGCATATCTGTACTCTCCACAGGCGGTACAGCAATGGTGTGGAAGAGAAGTATGCGGGTGCCACTGGCAAGGTCGTGGGCCTGGGGTCCCGGCGAGGCGTGTGGGCTTCTGTCTGTTTGCCCGAGAAGTTTCTAAGATGGGGGGGTGACCATCCAGCAGTTTTAGCAGGAAACCATGGCGCCACTGTGTGCATCGGGAGGGTCATGTTTAATGACAAAACCAAATGCTGTCTGAGGGATGCCCTGAGCCGGGCTCACACCTTACCTTGTTGCCCTTCTCAGCGTTTAACTCCCGCTTTCCCGCGTGGTTTCCCATCCTGAGCCCGTGCGCTGGTCAGGAGCTAGAAGGAAAACAGAAGGCGTTAGCCTTAAGGCTCCTACTCTCAAAGTTTTCAATCTGAGCAACAGTCCTGTGACGCACGCTCTGCTCTGCCCATTTCCGAGAAGAGAAAACGAAAACCCCAGACCCGAGACAGGGGAAGCCTGGCCCGTGGGTGCCTCTGTTGTCACCCGATCCGAAGCCAGACACTGGGAAGCGGGGCCCCTGCCCGTACCCACACTCTGAGCAGATCCCCTGCCTGTACCCATGCTCGGTTCAGTCACCAAGGCCTTCCAGCATGTTCTCTTCTGTGGACAAAGATCCCAGCTCCTGGATGGTGTCGACCCGGTGACACACACACCTGGGGAACACACCTCCCCACACCCAGGTGTGCTGAGACGCCTTCACGGGCAGAACAGGGCGACCCTCCTGAAAACGAGAGGCTCGGGGCTCACTGTGTGGGGATCATGTGAGCAGACAGACCACAGCATCAGACCAAGGACTGCTTATCACACAAGTATCCCAAGAATCTGCAGAATTTGCAAGGAAGATAAAGGTGGATTAAAAAAAGCATCTGTTCCTCATTTGTATTTCCTAACATAAACTTTAGCAGAAAATTCATGATCTTTCCCTCAAAGGCACAAAACTGCAGAATTTAGCCAAACCCATTCTACACCAATTGCAAATCCACCTTCATCCTTGGACGTGCGCCGACCGCCAGGGCCACTCGCTCTGTTGCTGTGAACCATCACAGGGCCGCAGATGCTGGTCTGTAGGGGCGGTTATGAGATGTAATTGTCCACGAGGAGCTCTTTCTAAAGAATATGAGTGAACCTACTCCCTGCTGAACGTGAAAGAGTTTCCTTGAAAGGCAACAAAATGAATTGTCTTCTGAAAACGAAAAGGATTTCTAAAACATTCCATGTGCCTTGGTGAAAGGCAAGGCTTGCCCCACAAAAGGCACACTCCTCAGGAAAAAGGGAATTGCTCAGGATCGGAATTTTTCCAAAGCCTCCCATCGTTCTGGATGCCTTCAGTGACCATGAAGGATGCACTTGCCTTTGTCCACAGGACCCAGACAGAGGGCGGGATGGGCAAGAAAGGAACTTTCTAGTGTCACCTCCCGGGTGTGTGTGAGTATGTGAGCAGTTCCACAGTGGAGACCAGCGACAGCCGGCCATGTGGGGAGAGAACACCCTTCCGCCTCACATTTTGTAAGTGTAAACCAGGGAAGGAGATCGCATTTCCAGTGATGGCCCGGAGGGGAGAAAGATAAGGTGAAGGGGCAGTCATGAGCTCTGGCAAATTACAGACATAGCTCCAGCAGCAAGAAAACACCATAAACTTAGAAGATTTAGGTGAATTCCTCATTTTTTGTACACGAGAGTGAAAGAAACCCCCAATATTTAAAAATGCATGTCTTTAAAGATGCACGTTTACCTCTGCAGATAATTTCAGCCTCCAGTGTGATTCTGTCATTTATGTGCTCATTTGTTTAAATTGGATCACCACAGAAACCTTCACGGGGTAAATGGAGATTTGGGCACACATGGTACTTTACTTGATTGGTACAAAAAGGGAAGGAGAGGACTTGTTTTTGTCATTTGGGAGTCTACACGCTCGTCAGGGAATGTGAGTGGGTGTTCTCCCAGGAGACCTAGGTCTGAACGGGGATGTAAAGCAGCTGTTCCTCTGAGGTTTCGCTTCTCTTGGATTCCATGCAGGGTTTTAACTGAATACTGAGAACTTGCAAGATGACTAGAGTACACAGAATAATAATGCATGAAACATTTGTGTATCTCCTACCCTGTTTTAGAAAAAAGAATTGGCTATCCCAAACTAAACATAGGCAATAACAAATATTATTATAAGTCCCTAATACCGAAAGCAATCTACACATTTAATGTAATCCCCATCAAAACATCAACAGCATTTTTCACAGAACTAGAACAAACAATCTTCAAATTTATATGGAACCATACAAGACTCTGAGTAGCCAAAGCAATCTTGAAAAAGAAGAACAAAACTAGAGGTATCACAGTCCCAGATTTCAAGATATGCCAGAGCTATAGTCATCAAAACAGTATGTTCCTAGCACAAAAAGAAACATATATATCAATGGGACAGAACAGAGATCCCAGAAATAAAACCATGATTATATGATCAACTAATCCAGACAAAGGAAGCAAGAATATGTAATGGGAAAAAGACAGTCTCTTCAATAAATAGTGTTGAGAAAACTGAACAGCTACATGCAAAAGAATGAAATTGGACCACTTTCAAAACACCAACACAAAAATAAACTCAAAATGGATTAAAGACCAAAATGTGAGACCTGAAACCATAAAAATCCTAGAAGAGAACATAGGCAGTAATTTCTCTGACATTGGCCGTAGCACCACAATTGTCTCCTATGGCAAGGAAAGCAAAAGACATCCAGATGGCTAACAGACACATGAAAAGATATTCAACACTGCTCATCATCAGGGAAATGCAAATCAAAATTACAATAAGATGTCACCTCACACCTATGAGAATGGCTAAAACAAACAAACAAGAAATAACAAATGTTGGCAAGGATACGGAGAAAGGAGAACCCTCTTGCAATGTTGGTGGGAATACAAATTGGTGCAGCCACTGTGAAAAACAGTATGGAGGTTCCTCAAAAAGTTTTAAAAAGAACTACCCACAATTATACTCCTGGGTATTTACACAGAAAATATGAAAACAGTATTTTGAAGGTATACATGCCCCATGCTTATTGCAGCATTATTTACAATAGCTCACATGTCCATCGATACATGAATGAATAAGGAAGATGTAGTATATATATACATATATAGTGGAATAAAAAGAATGAAATATTGCCATTTGCCACCATGTGGATGGAACTGGAGAGTATTATGCTAAATAAGTCAGTCAGAGAATGACAAATACCTTATGATTTCCCTCATGTGTATAATTCAAGAGATAAAACAAAGGGACAAAGGAAAAAAAAAGAGAGACAAACCAAGAACCAGACTCTTTCTACAGAGAACACACTGATGGTCACCAGAGGAGAGGTTGGGGCGGGGGGGGGAGTGAAACAGGTGAAGGGAAAAAATGAAACACAGGCAAAAGGAGTAACTTGAAGTCGACAGCTTGGACTTCTTTGGCCTGACATAATGAGTTAAGTCCCATGCTCTCACCTGGGCAACTCTCCAGCCCGGCGCCCCAGCCCCTACCCCCTACTGCCCGAAACCTCCCTCACCGTGTCCCCGGCTGGCACTGGGCAAACCCCAGAGAGTCGTTTCGTCCTTCCAGAAAACAAAGCTCCAAGGATTTCACCGAAATCAGAACAGTGTGGGGTGTAAGTATTTGGGGGTTGCCTGTGCACAAAAGCAGAGTTATGTTTGGACAAAGGGCCTTTGAGGTGTGGCTGAAACTCAATGACCAACCTCCCCCCGCCCCCCCACCCCCAGCCGGAAAGTAATGCTTCTTTTTTTTTTTTTTAAATTTTTTTTTTAATGTTTTATTTATTTCTAGGAGAGAGAGAGACAGCGGGAGCAGGGGAGGGTCAGAGAGAGAGGGAGTCACAGACTGAAACAGGCTCCAGGCTCCGAACTGGCAGTCAGCACAGAGCCCGACGCGGGGCCCGAACCCACGAACCGCGAGATCATGACCTAAGCGAAAGTTGGACGCTTAACCGACTAAGCCACCCAGGCGCCCCTAGTAATGCTTCTTCTAATCTGGTCTGTCTCGATCAAAACTCCACCACACTTCAAAACAAAAACTTCAGGCTGTACTTGGCAGTCCCACTCCTGAAATACTTAATCTTTAGAAAGTTCAAGACCACCGGACCCAGGACGGACGGAAGTGACGAAGGTCCGGGTCCAGCTTTCGAGCGCAGACAGAAGCCGGTCAGATGTGACTGGCCTCTCTGACTCACAGAAGGAGCACTTATTGTATCTGTGTCACGGCGAGCGTGCAGATTCCAGCGCTAGATGTGAAATATACAAACTGGGCAGGGAAAGAAAGGCAGGGGGCAGGAGTGACGAGTGGCATAGATCTGCCTCTCGATCAGGGCTCGCACGGGCCGACGCCTTCCAAGGCACCCGTGGTACTCGAGGGGCATCTCACAGGACGGCGGGCAAACGATGGCACGCCCACGAGGGACGGCAGCCTTTGGGAGCTGGGAGGGGCGCCGCAGAAGGAGGCGGGGCTGGGCCAGCCTCGACAGAGACTCACTGCCAGCCGCCGGTGTCCCAAAGCCTCTGCAGACACAGGTGGCTCACGGGCAGGCGTCCTTCGTCTGTGCCATCTCTGCAATTAAGTGAATGCAGAGAGCAGAGTTTTGGCGAGCACATGGGTGCCGCCAGGAAGCCAGCTGAGTCTGAGGCATCTCGGGCATGTTATCCAGCTTCTGGGGCCACTGTAAGAGGGGAGTGGGGGAGGGGAGGGCCTGTGGCTGAGCCGCCATCCACCCCTTGGAGGGAAGTCCAGTTCCAGAGGACACACCTAGTCAGCCCCTGGGGTTACTGGAACCTTCCACGCTGCCTGCACGGTTCCCTACACTGGTGTGAGATGGGGGGGGGATTAGGGGGGAGCCAGAAGTGAGCATAAGCCGCACCAGTGAGTGATCCAGTCTTACTGGAAAGCAGCCCAGTCGTAGCCATCGGGACTTTATGTTTTATAATTCGTTCCTGCTGCAGCTGAGACCAAGCGGCTCCCAGGGGGATCCTGGAGGAACCCACGCGGACAATCCCTCTGCGGGTGCCTGGGTGCACCCGAGGAGGCTGGCGTGCACGGGGATGTGGAGGTGAAAGCACCACACCTCCAAGTGTTTTAAACAGGTGCGTCCTGCTGGGTTCTAACTTTTGACGTGCAGACGTGGCAGGTTGGACCTGCGCTCCTGGGCAGCCCCGTGCTGGGTGACGTAGGCAGCTGGCTCCACCTCTCTGGGCCTCACATGCCTTTAAAGTGGAAGGAAGAAAAGCCCTCTCGCTGCCCAGTGGTGAGAAGGAAGTACTCTGTGGGGGCCGG